GAGTCAAATCATCTAACCTTTGACCTCAGGCATATCTCAAAACTCGTCACCACCTAGTTCAATCACCAAGTCAGCTATAGAGTCTTCTAGAGACACCAGGGTTGAGGGCAGAGCTCTTAAGGTTACGTGCTCTTCCTTGGACAATGTTCTTTGCCTTTTGCGTCGGAGTTTCTCAAAATCATCACTAGTTTAAGAAGCGGGATGAAACAACAGGTGAAAACATGAATTAGATAAACACAGTACACAAAATCAACTTACTGAGCTTGTTTAAAGTCTTCCTCCAGCTCTATCAGACGTTGAAGTCAAACTTGGAGGTTTTGAAGGGAGTTGTCAGCCATTAACTCTGACTGACATCTTTTTTGTCGTTCCCACTGCTCAGAAAAGTACTCGATGGCGAGTCCCACAGTCAATTGCAGATGATTAAGAACCGTACGAGCTTCAGTCAGCCTCTTTTCAGCTATTTTCAGCTTGCTAGAGGCTGACTTGGCTTTCAGCAAACAAAAATCGATCACTACAAATGGTTTGTATTGATTAGAAGATGAACGACTGACCTACCTGCATTAACAAGCTTAATAGAAATACCATGCATAACCTTCAAATGTATTGCATCCAAACGGGTCTGTTTTGAGGCCCATTGGAGGGGAGAAATGATTGGCGATATATGCCGCCAATTACGTTCTAAGCACTCGCCATCTGAGAAACCCCATCCAACATTTAGTCGTGGATTGTACTGCAACTGGCAGCTCCACTGATGGACGTATGCGTGGAATGCGGAGGTACCAAATTTAAGACGTTTCTGGATTCGTTTGTCAACAAAGAGATTGTTCTATCCCATAAAATAAGATAGATACTGATATGAGTTAATTCTGATGCTACAAATTCTACCAACTCACATACCCTGATCACACCTTTCTCCATTGTACATCCGATGTCATACAAGACACCTACGCTGGCATCGTTTGTTTGTGTACGGGCTTCAAGGATGGAATCGAAGAGGAGTCCAATCAAGGCGTGCACAAAATAGGCCCTATGGATTGTTATCAAAACCAAATAGGTAGATAAATACATAATTTAAAGTTGTTGATAATGAGGAACTAACCCACTTTTCGCCACTTTGTATGACATTCACAAGCTTCAGCATGTGGTCATGCCGACATGCTAGACCAATGAGGCCGGTCTCTTCGCAGCCTTTCCAACTTGATGCATCTCGACGATCGGCGGCGGCTGTGTGTTGTGATGTACACGGATCCTATGAAGAAGTTTGTATCAGTTGCTGATAGACCACTCGATGAGTATATATAGCTCTACATACCAATGGAACATTGCACCGTGTAGTATCTGCTGGATTGGGCTCCCATCGAGCAACATCTTCAGCATGCACAAACAAAGAAGGAGTTGATAACTCTATCTCCTGAATTTCTTTACTTGCTGATTCATGGCGTCTCTGTTGAAAGTTACCATCAACACAGACAACGAATTGCGGACCCTTTTGAATGCCGCCTGCACCTGCTGGACCGAAGCATCTCGGACAATTTGATGCAAGCCGCTCCAACGCCGTAAGATTGAGGCTGCGAGCCTCAAGTTCCTCAATCATTTTGAGGATCTGTCGATAGCAGTACACGGCTGCTGAAAGAGGCTTGCGCCAAAGTCGAGGCTAACATGTCCGTGGCCAAAGTCTTCAGCTCAAGACCGTAGGTTCGTTTGCTACTTTCAAGAGATTATTTAACTTACTTCTGTAGTCCCAGGTACTGTTATCAGAGGATTATGCGCATCTAAGTATCGATCAAGCATGAGCGAGAATGGCTGGATGTTAGAGTGACAGTACTCCCATGCTAGATGATAAAATCGAATGAGCCGTAGGGAAAAAGCTGTCTCTGGATTCTTAGGAGACCCTCCCAGATAGCCTTGGCGGATCAAACGAACTTGATCCGGGGTGCATCTACAAAATTCGAATTGAATTTTCCTGCGATCTGTTGCATTATAAAATCAGACGAGTCTCCAGAAACAGTCTTCAGAAAACCTTCTCACAAATGAGATCCAAAGTGTCTATGGCGCGAGTTCGCTTGAGTCCTGGTCCACATGAACAGTCGTCTTCATCATTAAAGTCTTGATTCCACCTCATGTCATCACCCCATTCGGACGTTTGTTCAGATGACTTCATAAATGCAATGAAGACCTTTTGCATAATCTCCTTCCAGTGTAGATGCTCTTGTAACCGCCGGTGCCTGTAGGTCTTTCCGGAGACCAGTTGTACATATGTATGTACATTATCTAAGTTATCTTGATCTTCCTCTTCCATATTGTCTTCCAGCGGCCAAAAGTTTGCAAGGTGATTGTTTGGGTCATATTCGTCATCTTCGTTTTCCAGATGGTCATCGTTCAGGACTCTAGGGTGATTTTCCAGAGCTTGACTGAGCTCCTCACACTTTTTTTTACCCCAGTCACTTTGAGATTTGTCGTGTTTGGCTTTCTCGCAAAGGGCTTCGGTTTCGGCCAACTTCCTGCGTTTTGGTAATTGTTTGCCAAGAGGGCACTGTATTGCTCGGCCAGAGGTACCCATTTGAGTATGTGAAGGTTCCGTATGAGGTATGCTACAAGTAAGATGTGTGCTTTTGTAGGTATGATTGGTTATCTCGACTTTAGGGAATGAGCCAGCAAGCTATTGACTAAAACCTCAGTATCAGACGCTTTGGTCTCCTTTCATTTAATTTGCAGCATCTATCAGACGATGACGGACGATTATCTAATCGGGAAATACTTCTTGATGCTGTCCAGTGAATCCCAACTATCCCAATCAAGGGTGAAAGTATATTGCAACTATATTACCGTTTAGCTCGTGAGCCCCGTTTTAGTTTGTTTAAGAACTTTCCTGTTCAATGTATTGAGTGAGCAATTGAAAACTAACTGCTGTCAAACAAAAAGGTGAAAGCTTGATGTCGATGGTGGCCAGTGGCCTTTAGGCATCAAGCAAGAAGATGTTATTGGAATGGCAAGTTAGCAGTGCTCTCGTAGTCTATTCACTCTAGTGGTTCACCTTGCACAAGTTGCTTTGCATATATATGGGATTGTTGATTGCAAAATGATGATTTGGTTAAAAGACCAACATCCATATTACTGCTCCCATGAAAAGTAGTATGATACCACAATGTGCATATCCAGGTAAGTTGCAGGAAGTTTGTTATAACAACACAATACTATTAATTGTCAACAATCAATCTATGACTTGTCAATAAACAATGAAGAGGAATTGCTGGTGTAGCATTGGGTGACTGTGTTTTTGGAAAACACAGACAAACCAGTTCATCACTTGAACAAATACATAATACTTCTTATTTGAAGAAAATGTCATTTTAGTAAACCCACAATGGCTGTTTATCATTAGGCAGACAAATGTAACTTATGATCCTTTTGAAACTCAAGATTTCATAAGTTATGTTGAAAACTTAACTGACCAACACTGAGACACAAGACAGAATGGTTGTACACTCATGTGTTACTCATTTGGCTCCCCAATAGCCATTAGTTAACCATCCAGAGCTGATAGACACATTTGAGTTATGAGAAAGATATATTGATTGCTGTTCAAGATATAGATTCAAAGATCACTCCTCAACAGATAAGTGTGGAATACCTGAACAAACAATAATGTAATATTTTATGTGAGTAAGGGCAAAGTTTGTGTGATATGGGGCAAAACAAGCATAAAAATATCAATATGCCAAAACATTGGCATATAGTCCAATATCCTCAAGCAAGGTCAATTGTTGGCTTTTATCAATTAAACCAAAAAAATGCTTACTCAATGTTCATTTAATGTCATTTACTTCATTTACTTGAAAAATATTTACAAGTTGAACTTTGGGGTTTGTACAATTTGGGTTTTACAAGTGAGCAGGGTTCCGCAGAATTGTCCAAATGGTGCTGCAGAGCAACCTGATAGGCCTGTAGATGTACCTAGGATTGGTGTGAGACCCTTTAAGATACGTCAATCTCAAAGTAGATCACTTCCAAAATAATCTCCCAGTTTGACTTTTGGTTTGAACAAAAACTCAAAAAGTTTTACTTGTGGAGCAGTTTACCGCAAGACTCTCCAAATAGGGTTATGCAGCTAAAATATCCCAGTAGCCGTACTTTTGATGGGTGTGAGACCTAAGATAATGGGTGTAAGTTAAGGAATAATATTTAAAAGATAAACTCCTAGTTCAACTTTTGAGTTTGAACTGAAACAACAAAAGTTTTACTTGTGGAGTAGTTTACCACAATAATCTTACAAAATGCTATATGTCCACAAAGAGGGGCATATTGATGTCTCTTCTTGGTGTATGAATTCAAATTTGGTCCATTTAAATTCAAACACTTGAGAACTATACCAAAGCCTTTGCACTTGCACCATTCTTATGATATTATAGAGTTTCAAATAGAATGCCGTCTCCTACAGAGCAATCAAATTATGCTATATGACCACAAAAAGGTTCATAGGTGCATCTTTGGTGGGTCCTGGAACCACCAAGAGTTGGCCTTTTGAGTAAGAATACTGTATCATGTTGATAAACTTTCACCCTTGAGCTTTTCTCAAGATGGTGAAAAGTTATATTTGTAATATGTGTCGGGCTAAACTCATATTAGAGCAGCAACATTAATTACACACAAATATAATTGATGGGTCCTAAAAAACAAGCAACAAAGGGTCTCATAAGTGTCATACAACACAAATGTATCTCTCTGATTTAACTTCAAAGATTTAGAAGGTGTTGAACCCCTTGATTGACGGAAGTAGACTAGAGACTGATTCAAACCTCATCTTAGGCCAACAAAAAACCCGGGGTGTTCTGGGGTTTCAGGTGCCCCGACATGGCTGACTGTTCCCAAGATTACTCATCGCCTTCCTTTCATATTAACCTTGTACAGAAAATCTTCAAGCAACGAATCAGACTGTCAAATCAGAAACAGCTTCATCCTGTGTACTTTCAATTCAGCAACTCGTTTATTCTACTTACGAAATGGCCCCATCCCGAAAAACCACCACACGTGTCAGTCGTTCTAATCCGGAAGGACGGTCACAACCTACCGATTTACCAGCAGCTAAACGCTCCCGACGTCAGCCACCTTGTGCACGTGTCAATCAGTCCGAAGATGCAAGCGCGTCTACAGACTCTAATCAACTGCCTGCCCCGTCGGCTACTCAGCAAACATCTTCTGGAACCAATCGTGTAGATGATGAACAAGATCTTGAACTCAGTAAAATCACGTTACAGAACTATCATAAAGCAAAGACTCATTGGCCTCTCGGACGCATTGAGGAACAGTTACACAAACAGAAATCAACCAACCATCAGTTGAGTGCGGCTGTTATTTCTGAAGGACAGGCTCTTCTCCAGAATCTAGATCATAGTCTTCACATGCTCGCGATGGTTGCCAAGGTCAGTGTAATCAAACTGAAACGAGCTTTGTGAGTTTTTTTGACTACACATATAACTGTGTTCTTGCTATTATCACTTCTACTCACTTTACCTTTTATTGCCCTTACTCCACAGGGGTTTGCTGGGTGGTTCACATGGCGAGAATGCTTGGCATCAATGGCTTAGCTTCGCACTTGCAGCTAAAGATATTGCAAGTGAGTGTTTTAAGCTCTCTCTGTCTGTGATGTGATTGATTTGCTAACACAAATTACATTCTCAGTGCCCCCTTGAGGCCACCCAGATGCTTCAAATTTGCTTACAGCCCGTAACCAAGCAAATTCAAAGACTTATCAAGCGCTCGACGATGATGAATACCGTGTGTTCACCGCGCCGGTTTTTTATGCACTTGGCGGATATCCAGACTATTCAGCTGTCACCATCACCGATGATGTCTTTGGCGACTCCTCCATCCTTGTCCCTGAGGTACCCAAGCTCAGCCCTGAGGACGAAGCTCGATACCGTCCTATCTACAAAGACCTTGTAGATTTGAAAAAGGTGGCTAAGGATCAAGAGCTGAATACACCGGCTGCTTCATCTCAAAAGGAAGAAAGACGGTCACTCCAATGTTTCAAGAAGACAGCTCAGCAGGCAAGTTCCTCTAGCTTCCTTTCTTTTCATCGGACAAAGCACTCACTGATGGATCTTGATTAGCTTGCACGAGATCACCAACTGGTGGGGATAGATTATTATATCATTGCTTGCAGCAATAGCGATTCAGGGAATGGTTGGTGTCGAGAATATACCAGCCGGAACGAAATGGCTGATTGGGTATCTAAGAAGGCTCAATTTCAGACAGTTTTCCCTCTGTATTGTCAACACGGTTCAACATTCGATGCTATAAAAGAGGTCTTAGCAGGAACTAAGAATACCTCTGTTGCTCAAGCTCAAAAACCAAAAAACCAATCGGACATTGACAAGCATGATTTAAGGTCCAAGTTGAATGAAATGTTAAGTGAGTCATTTGCTTTGTTCTTAGTTTTCTCTCTCTGCTTCACCACTCACCCAACCCTAATCGACCACCTCACCACTCGCAGAAGATGTTGTGGGTGAGGCTCGGTTTCCGACTCGGGGTTTTCCTCAAGTACCCAATCCTCTTGAAGCCATCAAAGACCGTCAAATCCCTGTCATTGTCGAACGAGCCACCGACTGTACTCTATCAATGGCCGACTTCAACAAAGGTTTCACGGCTATGGACACAAAAGCTCGACGCAATTGGCTTAGCGACATCAGGAGTGGCAAGTTCAAGCTCAAGTTGCTAGAGCTTCCTGGCTCAAGTGAAGGTCAACCAGCTGGAGGTACCACTCAATCCGAGATTCAACCAGCTCATTCCGCGACTCAACCAGCTCATTCCGCGACTCAACCAGCTCAATCGGAGACTCAACCAGTTCAATCTGAGACTCAGCCAGTTCAATCTGAGACTCAAACAGCTCAACCACCTGCAGTTACCACTCAGGATTCAATGGGAGGTACATGTGACGTTGCTTGACACTGACACCGAGTAAGCAAACATCTTATCAGACTTTAGGAGTATGACACCTCTTGATATTGATAACCACATATCGTATCAGAAGTTATGTCCTTGGAATATCCTCATTCAGCCGGCTCTCCTATTTATCAATCAATTTGTTTTGTTCTTTTTTCTTTTTTCCTTCAATGTGTCATCTACATGAAAATCGTTTGGTTCTTCTTTTTTCAAACGAACTTCAATCCAGATTACCCTTGTTGTCTTTCTGAGACTCAATTCTCTTCAGTCAATGTTTTTCAATTACATATATGCTGTTATCTATTTACTTGACCGACCAAACCTCTTCCAGTCATTCAAAATCTACAGGGTCTCACTTGTTCATTTGAAAACGTATTTCCCTTATACAAACATGTAACGATTCAATCATAGTGGACTCTGGATTCTGAATTTGATTCATCGTTCATATATACATATGAAGTTAAATCAATTGGAATGGGCTGTAGATTTCAGGAAGTTGAAACCAAAATTCAACACTTCCAACCACCTACTCGATTAAGATCCCTGATTTGAGCCAATACTCACTCATCTTTGATACATCCGGCCCACTCTTAACCGTCGACCAATCTTTGACAACTATCCATCAGCTCAAAGACCCATTTTGATCAAGTCAGAATCAATGAGGATCGATTTCTGACTATACCTCCACTTTACTCATCTCCACCCTCCCCCGTCCTGTTTCATTTTGTTTAATGACTGATTTTGTTATTTAGTTCGATTCCTAGCTCTGCTCCAGCCTCTTTGCCTTCAATCCCAATATCTCACAAACAGTTTAATCCTGACGCAGCAACTTCATTCAATCAAAAAAAAAACTTTCTCACCTGTACATATCGCGCTGACATTGATACATTAATACATTGAATATATCTGTATTCATATTTGATTTGGTGGTGCATTTCTCTTTGAGGTGGAGTCTTTTGGCTGGGTCAAAATTTGGTCGCATAAAGGGCTCTTCATACTCTCACTGACTTCAATCGGATTGTCAAATTGACCAAGTTCAAGAATAATATATCATGAGTATGGTTTTGAATGACAAGACATCAGCTTGAAGCTGAGATTGGTGTCGTTCTACAATGCAAGGGTTTTGAAGAATCCAGGTAAAGGCCAGATTGATCTGACTGGCTATGGAAAGGCTGTGAGGATTGCATCGAGAACAATTAAAAATCGATTCAGTACCATGAGAAGTCTGACTAACATGGACGCGTAGATCAATGAGGTGTTAGATAGTGAGGAGGGTGTCGATGATACAACACAGACCAGTCTGGTGTGTTGTCCATCTTTGTGGATGAGGATCAGACTGGTCTGAACAGACCGATCTGAAATTTGAGTGAGTGTTGTGTTGGGTGACTGTAGTCAGATTCAGATGGGTCTGTCGAGTGTTGATGATACAACACAGACCAGTCTGGCGTGTTGTCCATCTTCGTGGATGGAGATCAGACTGGTCTGAACAGACCCATCTGAAATTTGAGGCGAGTAGTCAGATCTAGACGGGTCTGTCAAGACCAGACTGGTCAGGAGTCTTTTGAGACCAGACAGACTGGTCTGGATCCAGTGTACATACTAGTCTGGGATGCTGTGTAGTGCTGTCAGACTGGTCTGGCTGATGTTCGAGTTTGTACAAGTCAGATTTTGTTTAGTGGGGCCAGACTAGTCTGAAAATGACTCGACTGTGACTTGAGCCCGCGATATGTAACTAGTCTGAGCGTCGGAGTAGTCTGTCTACTGCTTTGGGGCTCGACACCGTTCAGATTACACAAGCTACAAACGGTTCTTCATCGTAGAGTCTGTGCGCCAGAGGTGCTTCTGCTGTAAGTTCTTGATTCTGAGGACACTTATTACGGTGATGTCCTTCCTTCTTGCACTGGCTACATTTAAAGTTCACTTTTTTTGGGGCCTGGGAAGGGTGCTCTGGCATTGGATACTGAGCAGATGCTTCAGCTAGAGCAGGTGTACAGTTATTTGCTTGATGACCACGTCCATGACATTTGCTACAAGTGTAAGGCCGTTTGTTTCGCTCTTCCAAAATTTCAAAGTTAGATTTGTATTGGTCCGTTGAGTTTTTTGACCTTTTCTTTTGAGCGTTGAGTGTAGGGCGACCCAGACCGTTGGTTATGATGTTGGGATTGGAAATCATCACCAGTGAGTACCGGTTTGACTCAATCATCTCAATCTCGCTATGTACTTGGCAAAGCTGATGCTCGGGTAGGTTGGACAAGAGTTCGATTTTACTTTTCAACCTTGCTCTTATGTTGTCACATGTTGGGATCAAAAGATCAAGCCCCAACTTCCACTGATTGTGGAAGTTATCAGGTGAGAGGAGACTTTCAGTACATAGGCTATCTCTTAGCTCATGTGCACAAGGCATACCCCACGCACCACGGAAACTTCCAGTGCACATGCAACTAGCACAATTGGGTATAAGATTGTACTGTTGTTGGACTTTCAGAATGGCAAAACGTGTAATCTTGCTCAGGAGAAGACTGAAAGCTTTCAGAAGATTGCTGAGTGTTTTATTTGTCTCAATACCCTCATGCCCAACGTACTTGTTGATTTGATGTGACAATGCATGAGCAAGTGACTGGAAGCACAATAGGAAACTTGTTGTCCACCAAAGATGAACAACTTGATGTGTTTGTGGGCTCCCTCAACTCGGGATGTACTCGAATTACCAAAGTGCAGGTGAGAGGATGTGAATAAAACAACAAACTTGTGACTATGTTTGAGCCACGTATTTTTGAGATAATTGTAGAAGTTATGCTTCTTAGAGAAATGTGTAACTGCCTCAAGATTGGCATTGTGATCTACTTGGGTTGATGATGAACAGAAAGAATTCCATAGCTTTAAGAACACTTCCCATTCAGCAGTATCAACCTTGCCATCTGTGTTCTTAACTTTGCTACGACAGTTTTTCAACAAATTCTGGTTGTATTGCCAGATACAGAGGAGGTGATGCGAACCTGGGAAGACTTTCTGAATAGCGTTGATCAGTGCCAACTCGCAATCGGTGGAGAATGTGCTGGGTAAAACTGTTGTCTTGGTATTGAAAACCACAGCTTGCAGCTGGGTCAGAGCCCACTCGTAAGACGCTTCAGATTCGTTTGACATAAAGATAACCACCAGAGTAAAGGACCAATGGGTATTTGTAGTTCCTACAACGTGAAGCATTGGAAACTTGAACCGATTTGTGTTGTATGTGCTGTCCAATCCTAGGACAGTTGGAAAGCGTCTTCCAAGCTGTATACCATCAGGACTTGCAAACAGTAAGCCGGTTACTTTGCCATCGGAGTCAGTTTGAACTCGAGTGGCCCAATCCTTTTCTTTCAGAAGATCCATCAGACCTTGCATTGGAGACCTTCCTTTCAACCATTTATCTCAATGCTGTGCGCGTACGTTGTTGATGTCTTGAATCAGTGGGGGAGGGTTTGATGTGTCGCGAGCTAGGATCTGTCTGATATTTCTTGGTTTTAAGCCGGCATTGGAAAGAATACAGATTTCTTTCTTCTGGGCTTTGGTAAGCTTTTGGTATACGGCAAGGTTTTCCGCAACAGTAAATGGGTCGTGGTTGTGAGTGTAAGTCTCAGTTCAGGTCTTATTCATACTGACTTTCCATGTTTGTGTGCTAGTCCAAAAATTTAGAGACACCTGAAATTGACAATTTGATTTTCCCGTACGCTATCTTCCCTATGTGATGATAAGAGATCCAGCTGTTACCTTTGGAAAGGGAATCACTCAAGTAAGTTTTCCTTGAGACCTTCAACCGCTTTGTGGTTTGTATCAGAGCTGGCACTGTGTCATATATCTGTGGCGTATGAGAATCAATGTTGATTGAAGTGGAGAATAGACTGTATCATTGATTGATGTCATGGTTTAAAAAGTTCAGCCATGTTTGATAAGAATGGTTGTCCAGGTATGGATCCTTCCACTTTGGTAATGGAACACCTGTGAGTGACTCAATGGCTGAATTCCTGATATGCACTTCCGCTTGATCAAGAAATGTTGGGGCTTGATTCAAGAGAGCAAGAAAATATCCCTCGCAAGAGAAGGCAGTACAGAAAGTCTTGTCCAATTCATCTGCAAAACGGATCATCAGCAAAACCACAGAGAGATGAAGAAAAGCAGAAGGACATACCAGGATGACGATTGTTTTGAATTTCAGATAGAGCTCCGTTGATACGTTCACCAAAATAACTAGCTGTGGCAGCAGGGGGACCAAAAAGACGTGCAATTTCCAGTACATGTTGAAGAAAGTGCATGTTTGATTTGACGCTGACGTGCGACCAATGCATATTGGACTGTAACTTTGATACATCATCCTTGGTCCAAGTCCGAGATACAGTGAGGTTGGCTATCTCTACAACCTTTATGATACTCTGGCACATGATCTGACGCTGGGGATTGGTGGAATGGTTGCAAGAACCATATACACTGTGTAGAAAGTTAGCCATTCGGAAGCCTTTATATACCCCAAACTTACTGTCCCAATTTTTGTAGGGACACGAGTCATCCAGGAAGGTGTTTGTGCGTTTCTCATGGCCTGATGGAGGCTATACAAATCTGCAGGCGGAAAGTTTATCGCATCTAATGGAACTTCACATTTGGTTTGTGCTTGCTTTTGCTTTTGCCGTGTAGGTCTTTTTTGGTTTTGTGTGGGTCTTTTACGCGGTTGAGGGACAGATTTGCGTACGGTTTGATCGGATTGACTGCTGTCAGTGCTGTTTTCACTTTCAGTCCTCTTTTGCTTTGTATTAGAAGTTGAACTGATAGTTTTGGATAGCGGGAGGATCCTCCTTGCACCTTGGAGACTTCAGATACTCGAGAGATAGAGTTCTGAGATGTGAAGGGATTATCTCAAAGTGTTTAACCTTTTGAGGTAAAATCTTGCGCATAGGGACGGTAGGTAGTTTGGTGGAGTTTTTGCTATTGGATTCCCGATCAGCACGGTGCAAATTGGTAGTATTGCTGTT